ATATATATATATATATATATATATATACATATATATATACATATATATATACGGTTTTGATTTTTTAAACCAATGAGTAATTTTATTAACAGAGGTATTTCATTTAAAATGTTTCCTTCTTCCTAGCCCATCTATTGGGTTGTCGGAAAAGTCATGACATATTTTTTCTGTTTTTTGTTGCAAAAATGCGTCATGACTTTTCTGACAACCCAATATAACTTATATGAGTACAGTAACTTTTATGCATGAGTTTCTTTTGAGGATAAGATACAAAATGCAGCCTCTTTGAGAAATAATAATATTTATATAGAATAAAAGAATTAATAATTTCTGCTAACTTGAGAAGACTAGAGTTAAGGTTAATCTTAAATCCACATTTCCAAGGGTGAAGTGATCCATGGTGGGCTGAACCAGACCTAGAGAAAATTATCTGGGCGATGTCCTATTCCTTGTTGCCAAACCTTTTCTTTAGCAATAAATTTCTGTTCTCTGTGAAAGATTAATATTAGCTCCACTCTTCTTCCTCTTTAAAATATATTCCCAGTATGTGGTGAGATGAGATGGGATGAGACATGTACATTGTGAAGCTTGATACAACTAACTGCTCTTTAACTCTTCATAGAAGTAGATAACTGCCTGCTTTAACCCACTTGTGTATCTTAAGACTGGAATATTTTAGATTCTGCCTGGCCATAGGTCCATGAAAGTATTCTGCAAATTTATAAATGCAATTTTGAAAGCTATTTCCATTCAGTGTTTGAAATCAGTTTCAAAGACTCTTTTATGTATTTTGGTATCAAGTTTCAGAACAAAAGAGGAAGCTGCTCTTTAAAAAAAAATGAACAAAGATACAAATTTACTAACATTCCAGGAAGAACAAAGAATCCAATTGATGTTGAAAAACACCCTCTAAATACTGTGGGTCATCATGAGATACTAAATGAGTCATGTGACACAAAATGAACTTTTTTTTAAATCACATTAAAAACTTCTTCTGGTATATCTGGAAATTTAGATATCATATGACAGTATAAGGTTTCAATTATATTATTCCCATTTTAAATTGAGTGTGTAGTGATTTTAAAGTCCAGTATAGGTTTATACATGTTGATAGCTAATAAATCTATATACCATTAAAAAAATAAGAGTCACCAAAACTCTTAGAACTGATAAGTGAGTTCAATAAAGTATCAGCATACAAAATTAATATGCAGAAATCAGTTGCATTTTTATACACCAATAACAAACTGTCAGATAAATAAAGAAAAGAATTCCATTTATAATTGCATCAAACAGAATAAATTACCTAGGAATAAATTTAACCAAGGAGGTAAAAAACCTGTACTCAGAAAACTGTAAGACATTGAAGAAGATACAAATCAATGGAGGCATATACCATGTTTATGGATAGGAATAATCAACACATTAAAATGTCCGTACCACCCAAAACATTCTACAGATTCAATGCAATCCTTATTAAAATACCAATGGCATTTTTCACAGAACTGGAATAAATAATCTTAAAATTTATATGGAACCACAAAAGATCCCTAATAGCCAAAGCAATCTTGAGAAAGGAGAACAAAGTTGGAGGTACAATGCTACCTGATATCAAACTATACAGGGCTTCAGTAACCAAAACAGCATGGTACTGGCATTAAAAATAGACACATAGATCAATGGAAAAGAATAGAGAGTCCAGAAATAAACCTATACCTATATGGTCAGTTAATCTATGACAACACTAATTCGAAAAGCTATATGCACCCCTATGTTTATTGCAGTATTATTTACAATGCCAAGATATGGAAGTAAACTAAATGCCCATCAATAGACAATTGGATAAAGAAGGTGTGGTACATATTTACTATGGAATATTACTCAGCCATTAAAAAGAATGAAACTTTTCATTTGTGAAAACTTGGATGGTCCTAGAGGTTATTATGCTAAGTGAAATAAGTCAGACAGAAAAAGACAAATATCATATAATTTTACTTATATGTGGAATCTAAAGAACAAAATAAATGAACAAAAAAACAGAAAAGACTCATAGATACAGAGAACAAACTGATGGCTGCTAGAGGGGAGGAGGTTGAGGGGCTGGGTGAAAAAGTTGAAGGGATTAAGTGCAAATTCGTAGTTACAAAATAGTCACAAGTATGTAAAGTACAGCATATAGTCAACAGTATTTTAATAACTATGTATGGTGCCAGGCTATGTATGGTGCCAGGTGGGTACTAGACTTACCAGGCAGATTACCTCATAAATTATATAAATGCCTAAACACTATGCTATGCACCTGAAACTAATATAAAATAATACTGAATATCACCTGTAATTAAAAAATAAAAATTAAGTTTAAAAAATCTATGACAAATAAGGCAAAAATATGCAATGGGATAAAGACAGTATCTTCAATAAATGGTGTTGGGAAAACTGGAAAGATACACTCAAAAAATTCAAATTAGAACACTTTCTTTTCCCCGTATACAAGATTAACTCAAAATGGATTAAAGACTTAAGTGTAAGAACCAAAACCAAAAAATTTCTAGAAGAAAACATAGGCAGTAAACTCTTTGACACTGCTCGTAGTAATATTCTTTTAGATATATCTCTTTGGGCAAGGGAAATAAATTTTTTTTAAAAACCGGGACTCTATCACTCTAAAAAGTTTTTGCACAGTACAGGAAACCATCAACAAAATGAAAAGATAACCTACTGAATGGGAGAAGGTATTCACTAGTGATACAATAAGGGGTTAATATAAAAAATGTATAAAGAACTCATACACAACTTAACACCAAAAAAAAAACAACAACAAAAACCTGATTAAAAAAATGGGCAGAGGACCTGAATAGACATTTCTCCAAAGAGGACATATACATGGCCAACAGATATATGAAAAAATGCTGAAGGTCACTAATCATCAGAGAAATGCAAATGAAAAATAGAATAAAATATCACCTCACACCTGTCAAAATGGTTATCATCAATGAATCAACAAATGACAAATGTTGACGAGGAAGTGAAAAAAAATGGGAACCCTCATGCACTGTTTGTTCAATTACAAATTGGTTTAGCCACTATGGAAAACAGTATGGAGGGTCTTCAAAAAGTTAAAACTAGTATATGACCCAGCAATCCCACTTCTGGGTATTTATCCAAAAAAATCCAAAACACTAATTTGAAAAGATATATGCCCTCTAATGTTTATTGCAGCATTATTTACAATAGCCAAGATGTGGAAGCAAACTAAAGTGTCCATCGATAGACAAGAGGATAAGGAAGTGGTACATATAGAATGGAATATTACTTGGCCACAAAAAGAATGAAATCTTATCATTTGCAACAACATAGATGGACCTGGAAGGTATGCTAAGTGAAATAAGTCAATGACAAATACCACATGATTTCACCTATATGTGCAATCTAAACAACAAAATAAATGAACAAACAAAACAAACACATAGATACAGAAACCAAAATGATGGTGTCAGATGGGAGGGAGTTTGGGGGGCTGTGTGACAAAGGTGAAGAAATTAAGAAGTACAAATTGGTAGTTACAAAATAGCCATTGATGTGAAGTACAGCATAAGAAATATATCAGCAATACTGAAATACCTATGTAGGGCACCAGATGGGTACTATACTTATAGTAGATCACTTAGTAATTATATAAATGTCTAACCACTGTTCTATACACCTGAAATAATATTGAATATCAACTGTAACTGAAAAATTAAAAAATAAATAAATAAAAATATAACTTTGCAACATTTTCAGAACATCGGCTTATAAATTTCAAATATATAACTTTTCATGGATCTGTGGAAAGTATTTAGATTTTTTTTAAAATAGCAATTGTGAAGCAGTTATCCATTGGAAAAAACGTATAATGACTAATAACAAGCATTAACCTAAATGTTGACTTACTAGAATTAGAATTGTTTTCATTTAAAATACTTGGATTTCAAATATATTGCCTTTATCATTTGCTGTTAAACTATAATGTTAAATATTTGTATTACTATGATAAACAATGATATCACATGATACTTCATTTATCAGGGCTTTTTGTACTGATGGGGGGTTCTTAAAATATTGCTTTGGTAATAAACACAAGGGAAAAGACAAAGAGATGTTTTAAGAGAACATATTGAAGTGGTTATTCATTATAGTGACAAGAGGAAAGTATATGTGAAAAAAATTAGATAGCTCAAACCTTGTTTCAAAATCCTTTAGGAAGTAAGAGTTTCTAGAAATTTGAAGAACACACTATAGGTTCTCTGATTTAATGATTAAAAAGATTGAATATATATTGTAGTGAAAATACTTCATAGTTAAAATATTAATGAAATAGGAAATAAAGCAGTTACCAGTGGAAAATGCACTTATTTAGTATCTGTACATACATTGTCTTTGAGAATCTTGAAAAGTACACAAAAGCAGACTTATGAAAACTGTATCTTTGCCGAGACCTCATTTTCATATTCACACACTAGAATTTTTAAGAACTCATCCTAGCGGTGGATGATGCAAGAATATTACTTTGAATTAAATAGGAATACTGAGAAGCTAAAAGACTAATAGCCTTTAATATTATTTTAGCTTTATAATCCTAAAATTAGTAGAGCAGCCTACTTCAACACAATTTTAAATATGAAAAATAATGCTGTGAATTTAGGATAAGAAATCTGGACGTAATAATTCCCAAGTATTTTCCCTTTTATGGCAAAATAGTCATACTAGAACTTTCCATTTCTCATTCTCTAATTTTTCAATTGTTGAATTTAGTTTTATATAAAATATGGGCACTTTAAATACAATTTATAAATCACTTACCAGGTGCCTGTCTTGAGGAACTGGAGGTCTAGATTTTGTTTCTACAATAATTGTTTAATGGAAGTTTCACTCTGTTGTTTCAGTCAACCAAGATAATCTGTTATAGGCATTAGGAAAGCAAAAGGTGAACTCTGTAGAGCTGTATAAAATTAATGATTAAGCTGTATGAAGTCTGTTCTTATTTTAAACATCAAAGGTTTAAGGTAAGGCTTTTTGTTGTTGCTTGTGGGAGGAAATAGAATGAAAGAAACAGCCCATAGAAAGTATGTAGAATTAACTGCTATCAAATAATTACAAGTATATATAATAAATGAAGGCTTTTTACATTTACTTTTGTTTCTGATTTCAAGTATAAAAGCAAAGTGAAACACAGTTGGCTGTTGCATAGCTCCAGTGCTCCAATTAGAAACCTTCATTTAAAGGCAGTTTATCTGTACCTCTAGAATTGGGCAAGTTAAGACAGGCATGAGTATGCTCTCTGGGTAGGAGCAAAGGGAAAAGGAAATGCAGCCAAGAAAAGCTGCTGCACATTCTGCATCTTAAATTAGGCCTGTACCGTGCAAAGGCAGCTCTGTATTATCACCTTTCCTAGCCACCTGGTCATAGTGGTGACTGGTAAAAATGCCCGTTTCAAGATAGGAAAAACTGGTTTGAGACTCTTGTCATCCATATGATCAAAATACTTCTATGACATGGTTTCTTTTTTATCTCTACATCCTGAAATCATGCTAAATATTCACTGTCCTCTACTTTGCTTGTAAAAGAAGTATACTGTGAGTTTATCAATCTGTGCAACAATGGAATCTGAAGTTGAAACTTCTCATTCAACAAAATATGAAGATGTAAATATTTTATATTATCATCTTCTGTGAACATCCCAAACACATATTTTCTTGAATCTAATGGGAAAATCTAGATTAAGATTTTTTTCTTATAGTCTGCTTCAGAGCAGAAACCAAGAAACAACCCGAATCTCACATTGCTGCAGAATTATAGGAAGGCAAAACAACTGAAGGCAATTAGATAGTTTTATAGATTAGTCTGAAAAACAAGGGAAAAATATACCTCGTTTGCCTCCCCACATGTCTTGCAACCAGAAAATCATCCTCAGGCTCTTAGTATGCCCCCATTTCTGCCCTTTGCAGGAAATTGGAGATTTATGATCTAGAAAAATTGCACTAGAGGGATACAGCTTTAGAGTCACTAGATATAGCCGAAGAAAGTGTGTCATAATGAAAACAAGAAATTTAAGTGATGAAACCCTTTCAGTTAATTTGATTGAAGTATGGAGTCCACTTAATTTGACCTCATGGGAAAGAGCCAGGGAAATAATCAACTTGACTTCAGTTTTCCTCTTCCCTCAGATCGCCTGCCAAATAGAAACTGGATGGTCCACAATCCTGTTGATGTAATCTACACAAATCAGCCTCCCAGTGCACAGTCCAAGATGGAAAATGGTAGACAATGAATCTGAAGGGGTAAACTAATGATATCCAACACTCGTTCCATGTTTCAAAGGGAACACCCTAACCAAACCCTAATTATTATTTTTCTAAAAATCATTGTCAATTTGGTGAAACAATATTTTAAATATTTTTGTGGAGATACATTTTATAAGTAAATATTCTCTTAGGAATAAATTTTACAAACTTGCAGAACCTATGTTTATGAAGGCATGTACATATATTACATAAATTTGACTATAGACACAGAATATAAAAACAAAAATCAAGATTGAAACGAATGAAAGGAAGTGCTTTAGTCTAATGACAGATTATACATAGAAAAAGACTATGATTTTTTGAGGGAGGGTACTGCATTCGTGTACCAGGGGTGCAAAAAAAAAAAGTATACACATGACTTGTACTCATCTTTTGTTATCGGTATATATTGAGTATTACAATTTTAATGTTTTTTTCCTTTCTTAAAATGTGTATACATTTTTTGGCACCCTCTGTATTTCAACACTCTCTTGGCTCTCACAAGATTGAAACTATTGGCAGGATATCTCAAAGTGTAGATTTCTAGTTCCTCATAACTATACTAGCTTTTGTAGTATATACTATGGATGACATTTAAGGTGTGAATCAATTTGATGTTTTCATCATGGTCCAGCAGTCTCAAATGTTCTGATACTTTGAGCCAAACATTGGGAATATCAGAGGACTCAATGTGAATACTGTGTGATGAACTCAGCATTTTCATAAGAACAAAATGAATAACTGACTGAGTTTTAGGTGTCGCAAGGGTTAAGAGTGAAACTGGGAAGTGCTTGAACTCTTCATAATGCAATTTTTTTTCCTGCAAATTTTCAGCAATTCTTATTATGGAAAGCTATAAAAAGATAAGAGAAGACCATGGGAATTGATTATGTTAATGTTGGAAATATTCACTGTCCTCTACTTTGCTTGTGAAAGAAGTATACTTTTCTACCCAATGACTTTGGACTTGGCCACGATACCTTTGGCTCATTCAATGTGGAAGAAGTGAGAACATAGCAATTATGTTTTAAGAAACATGGCATTTTACAGTCTATCTTGTTTTTTTGTGTGTATTTATTTATAATTTTTATTAAATTTACTGGGGTTGACATTGGTTACTAAAATTATATATTTCAAGTGTACAATTCTATAATACATAATCTATATATTTCATTGTGTGTTCACCACCCAGAGTCAGTTCTCCTTCCATTGCCATGTATTTGACCCCCTTTACCTTCTTCTACCTCCCCACCTCCCTCCTTACCCTCCAGTAACCACTAAACTATGAGTTTTTGCTTGTTTGTTGCTTTCAGTTTTGTATCCCACATATGAGTGAAATCATATGGTCCTCAACTTTTTCTGACTTATTTTGCTTAGCATGATAATCTGAAGATCCATCCATGTTGTTGCAAATGGCAGTATTTCATCTTTTCTTATGGCTGAGTAATATTCCATTGTATATATTCCATCTTCCGATCCAATTATTTATCTAGGGACACTTTGGTTGATTCCATGTGTTGCCCACCATGAATAATACTGCAATGAACATAGGGGTACATATATCTTTACAGATAAATGTTTTCAGATTTTCTGGGTAGATACCCAGAAGAGGGATTTCTGGGTTCTCGTTTTCTTTGGATAAATACACAAAAGTGGAATTTGTTGAGTATATCTCTTTTTAGTCTTTTGAAGAATTTCCATACTGTTTTCCATAGGGGTGGCACCAGTTTGGAGTCCTACCAACAATGCACAAGGGTTCCCTTTTCTCTATATCCTCACCAACATGTTATTTGTTGACTTTTTGGTAACAGCCATTCTGATTGGTATGAAGTGGTATCTCATTGTGGTTTTGATTTGCATTTCCCTGATGATTAGTGATGCTGAGCATCTTTTCATATGTCTGTTGGCCATCTGTATGTCTTTTATGGAAAACTGATTTTTTTATGTCCTCTGCCCATTTTTGATTGGATTAATTTTTGTTATTAAGTTGTACAAATTTCTTATATATTTTGGATATCAACCCCTTATCAGATGTTTTATTGGTGAATATATTCTCCCATTCATAGGTTGCCTTTTTGTTTTGTTGAACGTTTCCTTCACTGTGCAGAAGCTTTTGTTTGATGTATGTGACAACATGGAGGGATTTAGAAGATATTATGCTAAGTGAAATAAGTCAGGCAGAGGAAGACAAATACTGTATAATTTCACTTATACGTGGAATCTAAAACAAAACAGAACAAACAGACAAAACAAAAACGGACTCATAGAAACAGAAACCAGAGGGATAGTTACCAGAAGGAAGGTTGTGGGGGGATGAGTGAAAAGGAGAATATAGTCAATAATATGATAAGTTTACACAGTGATAGATGATTACTGGAGTTAGTGGGGGTGATCACATGGTAAGTTATTGGAAGTGTAGGATCACTGTGTTGCACACATGAAATTAATATAACCAATATAGGATTGTATACCAACTATACTTAAGTTTTTAAAAAAACGACATTTGCTTCTAGCAATGTGGCTGTGTAGATATTCTGAAAGACAATCAAAAAAGAACAGCTAAGTTCTGGATAAAATATAACTATTGGTGCATTTTTAGGCCTTCTAAAAATAAAGGACATCTCTACATTTCTAAAAATCAAAGAAAAGTTATCTAGAGGAGGAGCTAGCAAACTACAACCCTCAGGCCAAATCCAAATTTCCATTTGTTTTTGTAGATACATTTTTATTTTAACAAAGCAACACACTCATTTGTTTATGTGTTGTCTATGGCTGCTTTCAAGCTAGTAACAGAGTTGAATTGTTGCAACAATGACCATATAATCTGTAAAATAG